ATGTGCAAATTTATTTTTCAAAAAAAAAAGCAGGCCGCAATTTTATTGTTCAATAAACTTTCCTAATAAATAACAAGGAAAAATATTAAAAAATAAAAATGCGTTGCGCCATTTTATTTTTTAATAAAGTTTCGCTGCGCTTATTTTTTTAATAAAGTTGCATGCTTGTTTCCCCCCTTATTTTGGGTCTCCGCCCAGGGGAAACTCTCGCAAATTTTTTCCGGCGACCCTGGTTAGAAATCTGCACCTGAAGTGCCCCCGAAGTTTTTTTTTAAGTAGCCGGGCCCGCAAAATGTTGACCCCTGCCTGTGTTTTACTTGTTCACAGGTTTTCGTGGACATGCTGGTTTGTGATTTTGTGCTTGTTTTGTATGGGGGGGGGGGGGGGCTCCATGCAGGGATCCGGACATGCACAACTCTGCAGGACAAGGCTTGCGAATGAGACGTGCGCCCTTGTTCAGAGAAGCAGAAATGCGAGCGTTCGCACTGGTGTGTGCATTCCTTGTGCCCTGCAACAGGAAGCTATTCGGGTCTTCTGGGGTCTCCTGAGATACATTTAGGGTAAAAAAAACATAAATCTGATAACCGTACGTGTCTGCCTAAACCCTAAATCCTAAACCCCCCCAAACAAAAACCTAAATCTGTTAACCATACTTTTCTGCTTAACGCCCAAAGCACTATAGTCCAACCGGTGGAGACCCAAGAGGCCCTATGCATACAGGAAGCCGCAGCGATCTAAAACCTACATGGCTTCATCAGTCGCTTTGCACCTCTGCAGGCTCAGGCAGCGGCCGGGATGCATCCGCATCCTCCTCCTCCTCCTGCAGGTTGACGCCCTTGGCCTTTCGGCCTCGCTTGCGGCGCCGCTTCGGGCTCGCAGCTGCTTTGGCCCGGCGCTTGCTCACGGGCTGCTCCCACGGAGGGGACGCCAAGAGCGCTCGGCGGATGTAGACGAGGTTGGCTTCGGACAACTCCATCCAAATGTCCAGGCCTTTGACTCCCCAAAGCACGCGAAGCTGCTGTGCTTCGGCCACTTGCACGCCGTCCTGGAGGACCTGTGTGGGGGTTTCCGACAATATACATAGAGGCTTACCTTGTGTATGGGGGGTCCTTATTATACATTATGATGGTTTCTTTTTCCTGAAACAAAAATAGACCACCTCGGGTACGTCCAGCAGCACAGACCTGCCAGCGATGAACTCGTCTTGCTGGCACGCTGGGCGGATCTTGCTCGGCACAGGCGTGCCTTCCGCTTCTGCTGCCTGCACTATCACTCTGCGCAGGGCCTCCTGACAAGCTGTCCGGCGCAGTTCCGAGGTCTCATGCCACCATCGGCGGTTCAGGGAATTCAACTCCTTCCCCCCGCCGGCATGCATGTTCAGCGCCTTCTTGGTGACGAAAAGCGTCAGGTCCCGATCCCATTTGGAAAGCTTCACGTAGTTGCAGCCGGCAATGCTCTGCACCGCCGGTTGCCACACACTCCGCAGCCCGCCGCCTGACACGCAGATTGCCGTGAAAATTTTTATCGGCTTCTCCTCCTCCGCCTCCAGCTCACTCTGCTCACGAGCCTCTTCGTCCGCATCGTCATGCGACATGGCAGCGAGCTAATGCTCTGCTGCCTGGGTCGGCGAGCATTAAGAAGCCCTGCTCGACTCTCACAAAAACCTGTGTGCAGTACATATGGCGCGCATGCAGGCTGCATGCACGTGTCATGAAGCACAGCAAGCTCTGCTGCGCGTGTCATGCAGTCAACAGAAAAAATGCCCAGAACTTATTCTTTCTTGCCGGAAGGAGTTCTATGTCGACTCTGTCTCTGTCTGTGTCCATCACAGAGCGAAATTGGCCACCCCCATGGGCGGTCTCCCCCATATACACGCCAACCCTAAACCCTAAACGCTTTTGCAACAGGCTTTGAGACAGCGCCTATAGATTCCAAAAACCCTAAAGCCCTAAAACATATGCATATATATAATACCTTATACCACAAGCCGGAGCCGCCGGAGGCTTTCAGGTCTGCGTCCTGGCCTTCTTAGACACAGGCGTCAGAGTTTCCACATCATGGGAAGCTCGGGTGTGAGGGCTGAAGTAAATTAGGCTCTCTCCTGCTTCCAAGGCCTTGTAGTTTTCAAAAACAGGCAGGGCAATGGATGCAGTGGAGCAGCCAAGCCTCTGCTTGTCCCACCCGTTGTTGGGCCCGCGCAGCTCCATGTTGGCCTCCTCACGATCGGCGCTGCACTTCATGGCCCAAGCCGGATTGGCGAAGTTCTGCGCGTTGAAGGCCGGCAAGATGGAGACCACGAACTGCTGCTTCATGTTGGGGCCAACTCCCTTCGTGAGCCCCACTCGAATGGCCCCCTGCAGGAGGCTCTCTCCTTCAAGCCTGAAGTCCACTCGGTTCGTGGCCACCGAGAGCTTCAAGGCTCCAACCCCGAACTGGCTTGTCACCTTCACATCCTTGCCTGGCTTCACATAGACTTCCACCTGTTTCCGGGTTGCCTTCATGAGCTCCTCGAACTGCTCGTGCAGGAAGGACAGCAAATAGCCCTTCACTGCGGCGTGCACGAAATCCTGACTCGACAGCGGGCTGCATGGCCACCAATTCAACTTCACTGGCTCGGTTTTGGGGTTGTACTTCTTCCACTTGCCTTGCACGAATGCCTCCGAGCTGGCCTCCCGAAGCTTGCCGCCCGCCAATCTCAGCTTGACCTTGTCAGCTGATATGTCAACGATGGTTCCCGAAACTTCGTCCGCCTTTCTGACAACTTGCATGCCGACAGAGAAGCCCGCGTCGACCACCAGGGAGTTGCTCAGCAGCCTACCCTCCTTGTCGAAGACACGAAGACTCCTGCACATGTATCCGGCAACACGTGTAGCGTCAATGGTGGAGTTAGAATATATGTGTAACCTGGGGTCGCCAATTAACTCTTGCACTGTCGCGAACAAACAACAAGGTGCAAACTGAACCTGGGCACGATCCGGCAGGGGAGGCACTCGAGGAGCCGGGGACTGCAGGGGTGGGGGCTTCGGTCTTACGCCAGGGCGGATCGACGCCGTGCTTGGACAAACACTTCTCGCAAGCTTCTTCCAGCGACTCGGACGTTGCCACCTTCTTCTTCTGAAGCACAATGGCTGCAAGCTGCATCTCCAGGTCGCACAAGTCCTTTTCTGCAGCGTCAGCATCCACATGGAGGAGCAGAAGCTCCCGCACCTCCTTCCACACTCCCTCTGCCCTGCAGATCTTCGGCAGCAGGTCCTTGCTGGTGAACGCCCGTTTGGCGTCGCTGATGCTGACGGCCTTCTCTGGGCCGCACAGCGCAAGCTTGAGCAGCATGTGTCTGAAGAGCACGCACTGCTCGGGGCCTTTGATGTCGGCGCTGAGCGCGTGCCAGAAGTCGCCGCCTAGAGCTCGCGACGCAGCACCGTGGGACCGGACGAAGCGCTCGGTCCTGTGCAGGAAAGCGTGGTCGGCTGCACCGCCGCCGCACTTGACCACAAAGCTGAACATGCTGGGAAGCGACGAGCTGTTAGGCGGCCTGGAGCGGAGAATCTCAGCTGAGACATCCGCGTAAGAAACGGTCTTGTGGCCCGCGGCCAGGAACGCGGCGACAGCCGTGTTCAGCTTTTTTGCCAGCTGGATTTCCGTTTCCTTGCTGGCAATCTGTCCCGCCGCGTTGCCCGCGGCCTGTGCCAGTGAAGCGTACTTGGGGAACTCCTCTGGAATCATGTGGGAAACGATCAACCAAGTGACGCCATGTGTGATCGCGTTCGCCCAGTCTGGGTCCACGGTTTGAAGTCTCTCTAAGGACAGCCTGCCCTCGATGGTCAGTTTGGGATCCGGATGCTGGACCTTGTGCAGGAAGGCTCTGGCGGCTTGACTGGCGTGGGAGCCCACGATGGACGCGTAGCGCACCCCCGTCACGGGCGCGAGTTTCCCGGCCGCCCCTTCCACGAGCTGTTTGTTGAATGCGCGGGTGTGGTCTCCCTTCGGGCCTGGCGGCACCTCAACGCAGACAGCTTTCACCTCGGCCTTGGAGAATCCGATGCTGGCGATGTTGCTCGCAAGCTCTTGCACGTGAGAGGCCGACAGGCCAATCCCGTCCCTGTTGTATTCAGAGACGCCTACGTACTCTGAAGTCATCTGCTGTCGCCACGCAAGGTGCCGACTACATAGAAAATCATGCAAAGCCTCGATGCTCTGCACCAGCTTGCCTTGCTCTGCCGTGTTCAGGAACTCCTGGATAGTCTTGCGGTCCTCCGAGGACAACGACATCATGTGTCTGCGAGCTATCTATATAGCCCTGCAGATCACCTTCGCGGGTTCGAGCCCTGCGAAGCCTCCTCATGCAAACGGAACAGAAGCACAGAACTACAGCAAGCGCGAACAAAGGAGGCGCCCCATGTCTGAGCGTGGCTTTTCCAGAACCAGTCCATGACTGGCGACGCCAGTATAGCGATGGTGATATGCACCATGCCAAGAATGAGGAGGTGTGCAAAACGTGCATATAAGGATATATTTATATACATCTATCTATTTATTTTTGACGACATTTATATCTTGCCTGCACTCACGACCCCACTCACTCCTCAAGCGCACAGCCGTGCACCTAGCCCTCACGCGGCAAGAAGAACTTGCGCAGGGCCACTACAGAGTAGAAGGTTTTCTTACACAGTCGTCTACGGGGTTTCAGCCCTCCTTTCACTTTGCGACCCCAGCAATATCCAAGAACATCCTCGAGAATGCCTCCGGAGGAAGATGAGAGCAACGTGACCTTCTGTGGCTGGGTGATGCACTCATTCTGGACCAGGTGGAAGTGCACCAAGCTCCGGAGTTGCCTCATGCTGATACTCTCCGAGTCTGGGATGGAGAAGGCAGCAAGTGAGCGGCCGCTGATGCTGGAGTGTGCTTCAAACCTGAGATTTGTATATGTGCACGTATGTATATACATATACAAAGTTTCTGGATGTATCTCTGTACTGTAAAAAAAGTGCAAGCAGGCAGCCTCACTAGATTGCCAGCCCAGTCATGGTCGGCGTGAAGGCTCACCAGCATCGGTGGACCCACTGGCCTCACCATCACCTTGTGCTTCTTGCACGATCCCGTCGACTCGTAGATGCTCGCTCGGGACACCCCGTCCCGCACCAGGGCTCGGTAATGCTGCATGCGGTACGACGAGTTGAAAGGTTGGTCTGGCCTCAGCCACAAGAAGCCAGCCTCGCTCTCCACCCTCTCCTGCTGCACGGCGCTGAGTCGCCTGAAGTGTTTCGGGCTCGGTGGCCCGTCCTGCCACTGCCATGCGACCGGGAGGTGGGCTACTTCATAGCCGGCCATGACGCTTGCCATATATGTTGTTGCAGCGAGTCAGTGTACGAACCCTGCTGCAGCCCAGCAGCGAACAAAACATGGTTCTGCTGCGGCGTTCATAACTACACAAATGCATTGGATATATGGTTCAGCGTCGAGCGTCCTGGGCCCCCCCCCCCCCATGGTATCCCCCCCCCCCCCAAGCCTACTCTACGGTCCCTAAACCCTAAACCCTAAACCCTAAACCCTAAACCCCTAAACCCTAAACCCTAAACCCTAAACCCTAAAACCTAAACCCTAACCCTAAACCCTAAACCTTAAGTCTTAAACCTTAAACCCTAAACCCTAAAACCTTGAACCCTAAACCCTAACCCTAAAACCAACCCCCAACCACACCACAGGGGGGGGGGGGGGATCATCTTAGTACCCCATCCGCGGGGAAAACCCTAAACCCTAAACCCTAAACCCTAAACCCTAAAACCCTAAACCGTAAACCCTAAACCCTAAACCCTAAAACCCCCTAAAACCCTAAAACCCTAAACCCTAAACCCTAAACCCTAAAACCCTAAAACCCTAAAACAACCCCCAACCACACCACAGGGGGGGGGGGGTACCATTGGGGGGGGGGGGGGGGGGGGGGGGGGGGGGGGGGGGGCCCGCCGGGGCTGAATCATATATACCCCTCTCGGGCCTGAAACAGTCACCGCAAGCTAGAGCGCCTGTTTTTTTTGGTTTGCCTTTTTCCTTCACCTTCTCCCCTCCATGCCCCTTAAGAATTCTCCCCCCCCCACCCCCCCTTATATGTATACCCCCCCCCCCCCATGCACCCACCCTTCAGATCGAACAAATGCGTGACAGTTCAACATCGCAACGCAACTGCTCTGCTTGCCAGAACGCCCCTGTCATTGAAACATCCCCTTGCATCCACCCATGCCTGGCACCAGTCTTCGCCTGCGTGGGCAATGAAGGGAGGCACTATAGGGTCTATATAGGGTCTCCTGATATACATGTAGGGTTAAACAAAACCTAAATCTGTTAACCATACTTGTCTGCCTCAACCCTAAATCCTAAACCCTACGAAAATCATCAACTTCCTGCCCCCTCCCCCCAAAACAAAACCCTAATCTGTTAACCGTACTTTTCTGCTTAAAACCCAAAGCCCTATAGTCCACACGCTTGAGACACAAGAGGCCCTTTATAATAATAAAGGGAGGTGTGTGTATGTATATAGAAAACCCCCCAAACCCTATAAACCAAAAACCCCGGGCCTGTCAAGCCTCGATGTCCCAAACCCCTCTTGACAACGCCCAAACCCGCGAAGCAATGCAGCACCAAAGGGGTCAAGCCTCGATAAAACAAGGTGCCTATGCATGAACTTCCAATCAAACCCTCGAAAAGTACATAGCCCGCACTGTGATGAGAAAGAGAAAGATATATATATATATATGTATGTATACACTGTTACGCCTACATAAGACCAACTCACGGAGCTTCAGGATGTTGGTTGCTCGGGTTTGCGCGAAGCGTTTAGCTGGCTTCCGTCCAAAAGCCAGCCCTCATGCAACCCACCCCATATAACTCGGAATAAAGGGTTCAAAAGGCGGGCTCGGTTTCGGCAGGATTTTCCGAAAGCGTTTTTATAATTAGGGTGGTATTTCATACAAGGTGGAAGTGACTACACAAACCCTGCTAGGCCTCGACACGCACATCCGGCCGAGAAAGACGCACGCTGCACCTGAGCCAGGTATATATATATATATATATCACAGGGGTGCAAGCGACACATGCATGCACTTCATGATCCTCATGAACTCATGAGCAACGCCAGGAAATCCCAACTCCTCTAAAATAAAAGGGCCTGGAGGAACGCTGGCCGCAGAGGGCTGCAAGAACTGCATGCCTGCCGACGGGGGAGGGTGAGTTCATGTCAGTTCTGAAGAGGGAAGGTGGCAAAGCTCCATTGTTTATACGTATAGGGCACAACTTAAGAGTGTAGGCAGATAAAGGGTTATGTTATCTATAGTGTGCCATGGGAGTCTATATCTGCTCCAGCCAAACCCTTTTTTGGTAATTGCTCCTCTATATATAGGGCATACATGGTTTAGGGGTTTGGGCATATAGGCCATAGGACTTAGGGCTTTTGGCTACGGATTGGGCCTAAACCCCAAACCCAAACCATAAACCCTAAACCCCAAACCCTATATAGACCCTAACCCCTAAACCAAAAACCCCTATAAACCCTATGCACTCCGTCCCTCCCTTTTCACGCTGCGGCGCGGAGCAAGGCATCAGTGCACGGGAAGCCGCGTGGGCGTGGCCGTTTTCCATATGCAAGTGCGAACTCTATAATACAATCATGCATTCTAAGCAACTTTAACCAGTCCCATGGCCATGGCCGCCACACGTCGAGCTTCTTTCTGCAGCACGCAGAGCTGTCCATGCATGCACATCTCGCGAGCACGTTTGTACATACGCACGTATTATAAGGGCTTCTGTCTTAAATTCTCTATATATATACACTTTCCTGTTTTGTTAAGCATCGGCACACTTATATATAGACAGACATCGATTTGGTGCTCGGATTCCCACACGGCAGCTTTAGAGTGATAGAAAAAGATAAGGAACTATATACGTATATCTCTCTTTAAGAAGTTTATGTCAGGGAATCTCAACATGTGCAAGAATTCTGCATCCTGTCAAAAGCATGCAGGACTCGAGACGCATCTTTTCACATGTCAAACAAAAGTTCTAAAAGATCGTTCCAGCTCCTCATGCGCCCCGATGCCTGCACATGAGGCTTGCGCAAGCTACCCCATATATACATGGATTCCAGCAAAGGATTGCCGAGCTTCGCCAAGCAGGTCTTGTGCATGCGTCAGTGTTGTGTTGGTGTGCATGTTGTGCCTGCATGCATGGCGCCTGCAGCTCCACAACCCATGCCGGTCATCAATTTCAGGACCATCGGCATGATTCGGACTCCATCGTGCGACACTTCCATGTTTTGTGTGTACATGTGCCCTTAAATTCTAAACGCAGAACTATGTGTAAACCCTTTTTGTAGTACCCTATATATATACAAAGCCTATCACCCTAAAAAACTTAACCTATATATATGTATCTATATATATATATATATATATTACCCAAACCCTTTATTTAAGCCCCAAAAACGAACCCTTATAAACTGTATATTTACCCTCTCAGATCTACCCATGGAGTCACCGACCTTGCCCGGCATGGCTGCTCACAGTCTGAAAGTGGACGACCTCCGCCAGCTTCGACATGGTGCTTACGGCCGTCTGCAGCAGGTTCTGTTGCTGCTGCGACCTGCGTCTCTGCTGCTCCTCGGGTACATGGCTAAACCCTATACAAAGCCTAAACCCTATATATAAACCCTATAACAGGACCACATGCAGGGCCTATACCCTTGAACCCGCAGATATAACCCTCAACCCTATGAACCCTCCACCCTCATGTTTGCTTGCATCCATACATAAACAAATTTAAGGCTTCGTGTCGAGAATTCACAACAACAAATCGATGCATTAATCTGCACACAAAATGCTTGATACCAGTCCTTCTTTCCCGCGCGCACTCTTTGCCGCCAGCGTCCCTCGCCAGGCTCATGGAAGACGCCCTGTGCGTCCACGAAGCCCCCTTCCACATATCGCCCGCCGTTGCTCCAGCGCCCGGCGTTGCTGGAGTTCGAGCTGGAATGCCCGGATCCCTGCCTTAGATCAACGGAAAAATCCGCATCAATCACTCTAAGGGTTTATTGGAATTTAGGGTTGAGGGTTTAGGATGGTTTTGTATATAACCCCTGTGAAAACTCCAAAACAATATATAGAAGCGAAAAAATGCATGATGCTAATTGGTCAGGCATCCCATGCTTGGCCTTCTTCCATGCTTGCGTCGACTCATCCGGCTCCTCGAGCTTCCACTGCCACTTGCGATCCTCCCAGCCGTGCCGCCACGCCCCTGCATCCGTCGTCCACTCCTGGTTCATTGTGGTTAAGGTTTAGGTTTAATTTGGGTTTAATGTATATATATATATATATATGTAGGGTGCATGTGTGTAGAAAAAATGCGTATATATATCTAGGGATTCAATTGTGAATAAAGAGGGTTTCTATATATTAACCCTTTAATAAAATCTATATAAACCCCGAACCTGCAAACCCTAAACCCTGAACCCTATAAACATATATAGGGTTTATATGCATATATATATATATCTTCCTGCAGGGCAGATATTATATATATATAGAGCTTGTAATGAACTCGGTAAACTCCGGCCTCCTTCACGCCATCATGGCCGCCGCTTGCCAGCCACCACCCATGGGCATCCTGCCCCTCCGCGCCGTCCTCGTGATTCCCCTCGTCCTCATAAGAGGCATCCACAACCCCATCATGCCCCTCTGGCTCCACGAGCTCCTCCTCCTTGCATGCCATGGCTGCAGAGAGGAGGCGCACAGCCCTAGCTTCACGAACACATATATGGATATAGCATATATACCTTTTCACATATATCTGTGGCATGCAGTGCCGCGGCAAACGCCGTGGACCAAAACGGACCAATGCACGCACAGTGTGTGTGTATACGCATACACTATATACATAACGAATCCATGCACGACATCATGAGAAATTTCAAGGGTGCATGCAATGGCCCTCGCAGTCCTGAAGCGTGGCACGAGCCATGCATGCATCGGGAGTTTGAAGGTTCGGGTTTTGGTATTAGGTGTTGCATACATAGGGTTTCGGGCTTAGATCTTATCCACGGCCGCCCCTTATAAACAATCCATAAAATGTCAGAGCGGTTCAGGGTTTAAAATATAGGGTTTATATAGGGTTTGTAACGTTTATGTAGGGTTTATATAGGGTTTATGGGGTTTCTAGATAGAGGGTTTATAGGAAACCTGGTTGAAGCCCGCGAAACCCTATATATGTGTATTACACACATTAACCCTGAAACAGAATCCCTTAAGAGGGAAGCCCCAAACCCTATATACCCTATTATATAGACCCGGCCTGAGACAGAATCCGATCGGAAGCCCGAACTAAACCCTGAAACAGAACCAGGGAAACCCGAAACCGTATAAACTAAACCCGGTGAACCCTCAACATTCAGCCTTAAGGCTGGAAGCTTCGAAAGGGTTTGCTGGGGGCTGCATGAGGAATAGGTCGGAATGTTTATAGAGCTCCCCAAACCCGAAACCCTATATAAACCCTATATAGAAACCCCTCGCAAGTGCAACAACCCACATTGGACTGGCCTTCTTCCCCGAAGGGCGGCCCATGCATGCATTCGAGGGACCAAAACTGCATGGAATGCTTAAGGTTATCGGTTTTGGTACTACGCTTCGCTATAGAGGCCTGCCGCTCAAAGCCTATAGAAAGAAGATTCTTGAAGGCTGTTACCCTATAAATCCTGTAAACCCTATAAGAACCCTAAAACTAAACCCTTTATATACATCAATCCTAAACCCTTAAACCCTTCAAACCCTTGCACTGTGTCTGTTGGAGACCCTATAGATGTGTCTGCATGGTACATGGCTTGAACCGCGAGCGCGGATCGACATGCAGGAATACCTGGGAAGGGGGTATACATATATAGGGCCACGTGGGAAGGGGTATAGGGATGCAGGGCCGAAAGGGTTCCAGGTCCTATAGCAAATAAGGGGACGAACTGCACTTGCACGCATGCAGGGCACTTGATGGGCACTCCTATACAGGGGAAGCATGCATGGGGGTCGGGTGCCCAGAATTACCACCTTATATGAGGGCCGGGCAAGCCAAGGGAGCACGCTAACCCGAAACCCTTGGAACAACAGGCTCTCTAACTCTCAAAGCCATAGATCATCACTATATAGAACCCAAAGTTCTAAGCCTACGGCAAAAATACCAACACGAAGCTACGCCTTCAACCCTAAACCCTATATAACATGAGGTGCATGCACTGGAATTCCCCTGCGCTCGCCAGGATGCTTCTTAGGTGACATGAGCACCGAGATAAAAAATCAGACGCGCACGCCTATGGCCGGTGCACACTCATGAGTTCTCCAGTATATCTAAACCATTCTAAACCCTTAGCCCTATAAACCCTATATATAGACGCCTAAACGCTGAACCCTATGTATAAACCACTATAAACTCTAAACCCCTATATAAACCCTAAACCCTACACCATTATATACTCCCCGGTGCCCGGCCATGGCCTACAGTGCTATACGCCCTATACGCACGACAAATGCAGGGCCATCTGGCACGCACCACCCTGCTTCTCACATGCATGCAAGCGCTGATGCCGGCATTGACGGCTCTGCGAAAGCAAATGCAAGGCCATCTGCACACTCACCACCCTTCTCACATGCATGCAAGCGCTGATGCCGGCATACGGCTCTGCGAAAGCAAATGCAAGGCCATCTGCACACTCACCACCCCTCTCAGGCGCTGATGCCGGCATTGAAGCTGATTTCGTTTGGCATCACTCGATGTCAGCGCCATGCAAAAGCCTGCGTAGGGAGCAAACATGCACTGTGAGGAGCCGGCAGTTTATATAGGGCTTACATGCGTTAAACCCTAAACCCTATAAACTTATAGGTTTGTATACTGCATGCGCCCCAGTAACCTGCTCGGGGGTGCCGTGACCATGTTGTTGTCCCTCATCACACGCCCCACGATGGCAACCACCGTCTCATCGGGCACATCCTCGCCCACATCCTCATATGACGGCTGTTCGAATTTGCTTCATGGCAAAACATGGCAAAACGACCATTCTTCGCGAAAAGCTATTTGTCTTTCGCGGGCCCATCGCGGACTTTCGCGGAGCCTATTTTACACCCGTAGTAGTTACAGTACAAACCGTACTAACACAAACTTCGCGAAAGCGTGATTTGTCTTTCGCAGGCCCATCGCGGAATTTGGTCGCCCCAATATACATCGAAGACAAGGGGGGGTTCTGAACAACCCTCATATACACGAAACCGAAATCCCAAACCCTATAGAGAATCTGAAAGAAAGTAAATGCCAAACCCAATACTTATTCAATACTTCAAAGGACGAGGGTCGCGGATGAGTCTCTTCCATGTCGCGTCGCTGAAGACGAGCACGTGCACCAACGTGTCCTCAGGAAGGGAGCATGGTCGGGCATTCATGCACATGCACATACATTTTACTAATCTTACAGCACGGAAGGAGCACATGCAGTACGGCTTTCTCTGGGGGTTTACAAAAACAAGGGACCTCTAATCTTACAGCTCTAAATATCTTAACCTCAGGGAGGGGCTGTCCTTGTGCTGCACTTCGGGATCCCGCAGCAGATTGCCGATGCAGCGGCGGATGGAGGCTGCAGTGGGCATGGCGAATGGAGGCGAAGGGAACGACAAACCAGGCCAGGCTCGTTCAGTTGTAGAAGGTATGTAAAGGTGAATAGCTGCTACGTGCCCTTGTTGTTTTGTAATATATAGCCCGTGTGGGTGACATATATATATATATATATACCTGCATGTAACGCATTGTGATCTATGGCCCTGTGCGCTTCGAGGAGCGGCGCGGGCCCACAAGAATAGGGAGGCAGCCCGGGGCCAGGGAACCTACAAGCACGCAGAAGCCCTCTAACGAAAACCCTTTCCTGCGAACAAGTTCGTGAAGACCCATGGTCGTGGTAATACTAGGCAGGCTTCAGCATCTCAAATCTCTAGTGTCGAGGAGGCCCTTAAGATTCCTGTGCCAGATATATAGTGCCAATGCTCAGTGCTGTGTGTACCGCCACGACCCAAGCCACATGCACAGGAGGACAGCTCTTGAATCGTACTTTATACCCAAGCCCCCCTATACATAACCCTAAACCCCCCTAACCCCCCACCCTAAACCCTGTAGCAACCGCCACAAAGACAACGAAACAGCATCCATCAGCATCTCATGCAGCCCACCATGCAGCATAGCGTCACAGCAAGAGTCATCTATATATAAGGGTCTCGGCCATATATTCTACTCCCCGCCGTGACCGAAGCCAAGGGCGAGTCTAGACAAGGGTCTGCCGTATTCTATATTCTATATATATATATATATGCTCCCCGACTCGAGGCGAGTCTATATACTTATGAGGCCAAACTCCCGGGATATGAAAGTTCAATTAATTGGCCGCCCTGCCCCCCCCCCCCTCCTCATGAAAATCTTCGGCTCGGGCTTTTAAGTCACACGGCAGAAAGTTCAAATGTTTAGTCTTCGCTGCCTAAGTATAAGGGTCTCCCATATATTCTATACTCCCCGCCTCGACCGAAGCCAAAGGCGAGCTATCAGGGTTCGGGTCAACCCCAGCTTTGCTGCAGGCTGGATGGGTGTAAGGGCGGCGGGTTCGGAACCGAGGACTTTACACCGGAAGGGTAAGGACTTAGGGACGGCGGGTTCGGAACCGAGGACTTTACGTGGCTCAGGCCTAGGGTCCTACATGGGGATGGGTTCGGGCCGGTTGACACCGGAAGGGTAAGGACTTAGGGACGGCGGGTTCGGAACCGAGGACTTTACGTGGCTCAGGCCTAGGGTCCTACATGGGGATGGGTTCGGGCCGGTTGACACCGGAAGGGTAAGGACTTAGGGACGGCGGGTTCGGAACCGAGGACTTTACGTGGCTCAGGCCTAGGGTCCTACATGGGGATGGGTTCGGGCCGGTTGACACCGGAAGGGTAAGGACTTAGGGACGGCGGGTTCGGAACCGAGGACTTTACGTGGCTCAGGCCTAGGGTCCTACATGGGGATGGGTTCGGGCCGGTTGACACCGGAAGGGTAAGGACTTAGGGACGGCGGGTTCGGAACCGAGGACTTTACGTGGCTCAGGCCTAGGGTCCTACATGGGGATGGGTTCGGGCCGGTTGACACCGGAAGGGTAAGGACTTAGGGACGGCGGGTTCGGAACCGAGGACTTTACGTGGCTCAGGCCTAGGGTCCTACATGGGGATGGGTTCGGGCCGGTTGACACCGGAAGGGTAAGGACTTAGGGACGGCGGGTTCGGAACCGAGGACTTTACGTGGCTCAGGCCTAGGGTCCTACATGGGGATGGGTTCGGGCCGGTTGACACCGGAAGGGTAAGGACTTAGGGACGGCGGGTTCGGAACCGAGGACTTTACGTGGCTCAGGCCTAGGGTCCTACATGGGGATGGGTTCGGGCCGGTTGACACCGGAAGGGTAAGGGTAGCTTATATAGGGCCCCCTTCCAGCGGGGGGAACGATCAGGCCAAGGCGGTCAGTCAGCGCGACAGCGCATAACAATGTTTGTAAGCACAAGAACGCAATATACTGTCATCTTCCAAAGTTTTACAAAACAAAAACTGCCAAACAAAAAGCCGATGAAACCAGTGCTTGCAGCAAAACGTGTAGGAATATATGGCTTGTCCTGCTCGCCCGTGAGTCGACTTGCGGATTAGGTTAAGTCGCTGCTTAGCGGACTTCGCTGGCAACGGTCTAACGTCCTAAGGTTAGCTTGGCCAAGTGTCCGCTTAAGTCCACTTAGAGACACATCTCACGAGCCAGTATAAGT